GCTTTGTAATATAGTTTCAAGTTGGGGATTGTGATACCCCCAGCCATGTCTCTGTTGCCTAGAATTGCTTTTGCTATTCTAGGTTTCTTCTTATTCCAAATGAATTTTTGGATTGTTTTCTCAGGAAGTTAGTTTTAAATCATGAATTTACAACAAAGGATAAAAAGGATTTGTTTAACTTGGTTACACAGCACCAAGAACAGATGATCCTGTTACACTGTAGCATCCATTTATTATGTCCCAGGACCTCTTCTGAGATAATTATCAATATGCCTTTGAGTGTGATAGTGACTTTCCAAAAGGTTATAGAGCTAAGATTCGAGTTCTTTATCCTATGAATATATGTTTGGAATCTCCTAACACAAATTAGAGTACTAATAATGAATAACAGAAGCTAGAGTTCTAGGAACATTTTTATATCAATATATCCTTTTCTTTCATTAACATTGATTATAAGTTTTACTTACTTGCTACTTTGGCAGGCACAAAGAAACTTCTCATCATAGCCTAATCCAAACCAAACAAATATTCTGAATTTTCCAGAATTGCTACATTTTAAATATTATAGTTCTTTGTCCAAAAAAGAGCCATAATAAAAAAGAACCTGGTTTTTATTTGCCAAATAGGGCCCATGTAGATGGAGTAAAGCAAGATGGGTTGGCAGCAGCATGAACTATCTCACAGGAATGACAATGTCTAGGACATTACAAAAGATGAATATGGATGTGGGGTCGGGAAAGTCAGAATCCAGATGACAGAGTGTGGGTATCGAGGCATAAAAAGGGGAGAGAAAAAAGCAAAAGGGATTAAAGGGTAAATATGAATAAATATCTTACACTTAATCAGAGTGGTGGTTGAAAGGATTAGCTTTGCTACTAGATTGTCTAGGTTCAAATCAGCTTTGCCATATACTAGCTAAGAGACCTTGGACAACTTGGGTTTTCTAAGTCACAACAACACATTTTCTGAGACTCAGATAAGCAAGACAAAGATAATAATACTACCTACTTCATAAGTTTGTTATAAATACCAAATTAGCTGATATATGGAAAGTAGCTGACATGGAGTGTCTACCATTCAGTAAATGTCAGCTTTCATTATCTTTGCATAGTGCTTCATAATTTATAAAGTGCTTCTATATATATATTATACAATTCTCACAATAATCCTATGTTATTCTTTAAAAAAAATTTTTTTTTGTGGTACTGGAGATTGAACCCAGGATGTTAACACTGAGCTATATCCCCAGCCCTTTTTTAAAAAATTAATTAATTAATTAATTTATTTATTTATTTTGGTACCAGGGATCAAACTTAGACCTTGCGCTTGCAAAGCAGGCAGCGGAACCACTGAGCTAAATCCCCAGCCCTCCCCAGCCCTCCCCAGCCCTCCCCAGCCCTTTTTAATTTGTAATTAATTTATTTTTTAATTTTTTGGGGGGGTACCAGGGATCGAACTTGGGTCCTCGCTCTTGTGCAGCAGATGGTGAAACCACTGAGCTAAATCCCCGGCCCAATTTATTTTTAAATTTTGAGACAGGGTCTCACTAAATTGCTAAATTGCCCAGGCTGGGCTTGAACTTGCAGTCCTTCTGCCTCAGTCTGCCAGAGTGCTGGGATTATAAACTTTCATTACTGCACTTGGTATTATGCTTGTTTTAGAAATGAGGAAAAAGCCAGGTTTGGTGGCACACACCTGTAATCTCAGCACCTGGGAGGCTGAGGCAAGAGGATCGCCACAAGTTCAAGGTCAGCCTGGGCTACATAGGGAGTTCAAGGCCAATATGAACTACATAATGAGACCTTGTCTCAAAAAAGAAAGAAAAGAAAGAAAGAAAGAAAGAAAGAAAGAAAGAAAGAAAGAAAGAAAGAAAGAAAGAAAAGAAAGAAAAAGAGGTGAGGATAAATAAAGCAAATAACCCAAAGTCTCACAGCTAGGAAATTAGACAAATACAAATAGGACTGGATCTTAAGTAGGACCAAGGTTTTTATATATCATAACTGCTACTTCTGAAATTGTGCATATTGGAAGTGGAGTAGAGGAACAGGATACACAAATCTCTAGAAAAGAAGTGATAGTTTAGTCTCGGTCAGTTTAGAAGACTTCCTAAAAATTTTGGCCCTTTGTTTTCATGATTCCTTTGTGTTATGCTTGATCTTAGTCAAAAGGTGCAAAATGATATGGTGATTCCTTTTCTTTTTCTTATTTGTAGTTCCAAGAGATGTATAGATTGAATCTTAATCAACCTATCCCCTTGATATTTGACAAAAAGCAGATACCTCCCTCTACCACATTTATTCCACAGCCATTCCTAGAGTTTCTAATTGAAGAGGACAAAAAATCTGACATTTTCAAGAAATTTAGGTATGTGATAGAAAGACGGACACAAAATTTTATATGATATGTGGCTTATTTATTTAAGTTCTGCCCAGGAGCTTTCCCTTATTCCAAGTTATGATATGATATAGGGGAGAGTCTATGGGGATGGTAATTTCCTTAGCTAATTTATCAAGACATTTATTTACTTATACTTCTACTTAAATATTTAACATTTGATTTTGAGTTCCTTCAAAAAATAAAGCTGATTCCTTCTAAGAAACCAATTATTTTAAGAATATCTAATAAAGAAACTGGGAAACACGAACCCTCTCTCCTTCTCTTTCTCCCTCCCCCTCTTTCTATCCCTTCTCCTTCCCTTCCTTCCTTCTTTCCTTTCTTCCTTCCTTCATTTCTTTCTTTTCTTTCTTTCCTTTCTTTTCCCTTCCTTCTCTCTCTCTCTCTCTCTTTCTTTCTTTCTCTCTCTCTCTCTTTCTCTTTTTTCTTCCTAAGAAGGGAGGAGTTTTGGAAAGGACAAGGGAAAGATACATGGTCTATGTACTTCACGAAGCTAAGAAGATAGTTTTAACATAGGTTACTAGGTGAAGTTATGGAAATATAGCTTTGTTAACTATTTCAGTCTTTTCATCCATTCCTCTGTCAAAGTGAGCATAGCAAAAGGAGGGCATTATAGGACAAGGTGGTGGTAAAGACAAGAGGGAAGAATAAGACTCATATTTTTATTGGCAATGGAGCTCAGGAGAATTTGGTACTTCCACTTAATTCTTTCTGATTCTGTAGACAAAAAGAAACTCGGAGGGAGGCCATTTGGAATGCTGATCTGTCCACCTCAAGCTACCCAATAACAGAGACGACATCAATAACATCACTCTGGGCTCAGCTGGGTGGGTACCCAGATATTCCTAGACTGCTCCAATTAGATATTCAGTCTACCTTCAGAAAATCTCTTGCATCCATTCAATCACAGTAAGTAAAGGACGGGGAGCGTTCTGGTAAATGGGCCTTTGGTCGTACACCTTTTGTTTCCTAATTGACTTTCTCTTTCAAACCTAATACCAAAAATAAGTGTGTGCACAGGGTTTGTAGCTCAGTGGTGCTGTGCCTCCCTAGCAAGTGCAAGGTCCTAAGTTTGATCCCCGGTACTGAAAACAAAATAAAATAAACGTGTGGTTAGATACATACCAGTCACAAAACATAGGTAAATTGAGAACTAGTGTTTCTCATTATAGGCCTACAGATACCACCATTAAATAATATAAAACAAACAGACAATTATAATACCATGAACTTAATCTAACACTTGATTGGTCCACTCATTAAATTAGCTGGGTGTGGTTGCCCATAGCGAAGTCTCAGCATCTCAAGAGGCTGACCACAAGAGGATTATCTGAGCCACCAAGTTTGAGACCAGCTTGGGCAGCAGAGTGAAACTATGACTAAAAACTAAAACCAAAACAACTTAAGGTAAATTAAGTGCTTATATTCCAAAATACACTGAAGAGACAGAGAGAATAGGTAAGTAAAATTATCATATGATTCCACATTTCCAAATTCTATTGAATTAGATTCTCACTTTAACCATTGGAAATCATTCTAGTGTTTTTTTTGTTTGTTTGGTTGGTTGGGTTTTTTTTTGGTACCTGAGATCGAGCTCGGGTCCTTGCACTTGCGAGGCAGGCTGCGGAACCACTGAGCTAAATCCCCGGCTGGAAATCATTCTAGTGAAAGTGAAGAGCTTTGGTGTCTGCATTATCTCTTTCTGGAAGAGAATTATTTAATATTCTAAACCAATAATTTAGAAGATTGAACTTTTGTTAACCTGAACGTTCACAAGAACTGTATGATTTATTTTGTGAAATCCAGGTCCTGAAGTAAGAAGTAGTATTAACTCACAAAAGTGGTAGATACTATGAAACAGAACATTTAAAAATCTATGATATATAGGATACAAAAACCAACACACAAAAATCAGTTAGATGTAGTGGTGCACAACTGTAATCCCCGCACTCTGGGAGACTGAGACAGGAGGATTTTGAGTTCTAACCCGGCCTGGGCAATTTAGCAAGATGCTGTCTCAAAATACAAGAAATAAAAAGGGCTGGCTTCCTCTTCTCCTTGACCACTGCATACCCTCAAAATTCAAAGGTCAACTATCCTGTAAATCCTGGGTTAGTACTTCTCCTGGGAATCTAGTATCTTTTTGTCCTTTATCTTTAGTTGGTAATCCTATTATGCTTCACCAAGACTTCCACTTTGCCATACTATTATATACAAAATATGTATTAAGAGTTTCTAAGTTGGAAGTTATGTGTCTGAAATTTTCCAGAGCAGGAGACACCAAAAGCAGTAAAAAAATTAAGATATGATAGGAAATTAAGCTAAGCATGATGATGCATGCCTGTAATCTCAACTACTTGAAATGTTGATGCAGGAGAATCAAAAGTTTGAGGCCAGCCTGAGCAATTTAGTGAGATTCTGTCTCCCCTATAAAATTAAGGTGTATGTGTGGGTGGACTGGGTGTACAGCTTTATGGTAAAGTGATTTGCACAAGGGCCTGAGTTCAATCCCCATCCCCCCCAAAATTATAGGAAATAAATAGAACAACCAAAGTCTTAATTTTTTCTTCTCCTGAGAAACTTACGTTCATTAAAAAATAGAATACAGTGCTGGGGATTTATCTCAGTGGTTCTGCCGCCTGCCTAGCAAGCACAAGGTCCTGAGTTCAATCCCCAGTGCCAAAAAAAAAAAAATGAAATGAAATAAAAAATAGAATACAGGAAATATCAAGTTTAAGGCATATTAGTCAAAAGGACACTATATATTTAATTACTATTTAGCATGCTCCCCCCTTGTTTCTCACTAGAATCTCCTCAAAGTCTTCCCACTACAGAGGATGATGTTTATGTTACCCTGTTGCAGTTCAAGTGCAACCCAAGCAACTTCATTTCTTCTGACTTTAGTTATTCTTGCCATCCATTAGGTCTCAGCTTAAGCAATTCTCTTTCTAAACTGCCTATTCTGACCCCTCCTGTGTGTTTCCAATGCACCTTATAACTACCTCCCGATTTTAGATAATATGTTTTGAGATTATCTGTTTGCTGTGTTCACCTGCCTCTACTTTTGTTCTACCCACTTTCCTTTCACAAATATTTATTGAGTACTTACTAAATGCCAGGCACTAGACACTGAGGCTGGGCATGGTGGTGCATGCCTATAATCCCAGCACTCAGAAGGCTGTGGCAGAATTGCCATGAGTTCGAGGCCAGCCTGAACTACATAGTGAGATCCTGTCTCAAAACAAAAACAAAAAAACCCAAAAACAAAAAATCTAGACACTGAGATAAAATATGCAGGAAGATTCTAAGATCACTGATGCCAAGTATAAGGAATAATATGTATAAAGATTCAGGGCCAGGCCAGGGATTTAGCTTAGTAGTGGTGCAAGGCCCTGAGTTCAATCCCTGGTACAAACAAACAAACAAACAACAAACAAAGATTCAGGGCCTGTAGCTTATTGCTTCTTTTGTTTTATCTCCTAGCAACAAACAAGCAGACTGGGGATGTAGCTCTGTGCCTGCCTGCCTGGCAAGCAAAGATCCTGAGTTTGATCCCAGGTACTGGAAAAAAAAAAAAGAAGCAAATAGACAACTCCCCCCAAATTAAAAATGCCTGTTCTTCAAGTAACACTGCTAAGAGAATAAAAAGACAATGCACAGAATGAGATAAAATATTTGCAAAGCACATATAATAAGTGAGTTGTATCTACCACTTACAACTCTCAAAACTGTGAGAAAACAATCTGGGCTGGGGATTTAGCTCAGTGGTGCCACTCCTGCCTTGCAAGCACAAGGTCCTGAGATTTAAAAAAAAAAAATCCAATAAAAATGGGCAAAAAGTTTAAACAAGGGACAGTTAGTTATGAATAGTAAAGACATAGATGGAAAATGTTCAACATCATTAATCAAATAAAAAGTAAAACCCCAATGAGCTCTTACTACATGCCTATTAGAATATGACAATTAAAAAGACTGAGCAGAGTTCAATCCCTGGTACCAAAAAAAAAAAAAAAAAAGACTGAGCAGCTGGGGATGGTGGTGCACACCCATAATCCCAGTACTTGGAAGGCTGAGGCAGAAGGATTGCCATGAAATCGAGGCCAGCCTGGGCTACATAGTGAGGTCAAGGCCACCCTGAACTGCAGAGTGGGACCCTGTCTCAAAAAACAACAAAAAAACCTGAGCACACCACATATGTTATGAAGGAACTCAAACACCTTAGGTGCTGACATGAATTAGTACACCTACTTTGTAAAATAGTTGGTACTTCCTAAGCTAACCGTATACCTGAAATATGACTCCCAAGTATTTAAGAGAAATGAAAGCACATATCTATACAATAATGTATATAAGAAAGTTCATAGCAGTTTTATTTAAAATAGTGAGAGACTAGAAATAATCCAACAGGTGACTAGATAAACTGCGGTCTTCAAATGAATATTGGAATATTACTTACTCAGCAATAAATAAAATGAACAATTGATACATGGCATAACATGGGTGAATTCTAAATAATTATCCTGAGTGAAAAAAGACAAATAGTACATGCTACATGATTCCATTGATATAAAATTCTAGAAGATGAAAACTACTGGCAAAATGAGGATCAGTGGAGTGGAAGAGATGCAAGAGAGTTGACAAAAGAGCATGAGAAAACTTTTTGGGGTGATAGGTATGTTCACTATCCTGGAGGTGATGATTATAGACATGTGTCAAAATTTATTGAATTGTATAACTTAAATATATGCAATTTATTATAAGTCAATAATACCTTAGTAAGGCCATTAAAAATTCTAAAAAAAGGGCTGGGGATTTAGCTCAGTGGTTCTGCCACCTGCCTCTCAAGCGCAAGGACCCGAGTTCGATCCCTGATACCAAAAAAAAAAAATCTAAAAAAAAGATGGTGTGATAGTGCATGCCTGTAATCTCAGTTACTCAGGAGGCTGAGGCGGGAGGATCACAAGTTTGAGGCCAGTCTGGACTACACAATGAGAGTCTCAAAAGACCAAAAATTAAATAAATAGATACATGAATAAATGATGGGGGACATAGCTGAGTTGTAGAGTACTTACCTAGCATTCAGGAAGCCCCAGGTTCAATCCCCAGGAACACATACACACAAAATACCTAAAAGAAAATATCCATCATTTATAATCTACCCATCATTGCTCAGATTTAAAAAAAACAAAAAACATTTAAGCCAAGCCTATAATCTCAGCTACTTGGGAGGCTGAGACAGGAGGATCCCAAGTTTGAACCCAACCTGGGCAAATTACTGTGACACCATCTCAAAATAAAAAGGGCTGGGATGTAGCTCAGTAGTAGAGTGCTTGCCTAGCTAGCATGTGCAAGGTCCTGGATTCAATCCATACTACTGCAAAAAACCTCCAAAAAACAAAAAAAAATCTAAATTTCCCTCATATCCCCTGCCATTTAACACTTGCCATTCAGAGATAAATACTATTCAGAATTCTATCACCATAAATAATTTTGCCTATTTTTAACTTCATCTAAATTAAATCATATATAATATTTTATCTTTTCTGTCTTCTCACATTATTACCTGTGAGATACACCAATATACTTGTCTATTGGTTTTGGTTTTTGTTTTTTTTCTTTCTTTCTTTTTTGAGACTGGGTCTTGCTATGTAGCCCAGGCTGGCCTCAAACTCAAGACAATCTTCCTGCCTCAGCCTCCCAGGTGCCGGGATTACAGGCGTGCACCACCACATTCAGCTTTATACTTGCTTATTGTACTGTTTTTTTTTTTTTCTGTTGGCATGTATAGCACAATATATTTTTCTTTCTACTGTAGCTAAACATAGGGGTCACTGTTATTTTTTTCATGAATCAATGTATAGTACAGTATCCAGTTTTGTGGTACTGAGGATTGAACTTCACACTGAGCC